GGTGTCAGGACTAGGTTACAGGACCCCTGCTTAGGGCTGAAGCCCTTGGGCTTTGCCGCCCCCCTCCTACTGCCTGGGGTAGTGGGGCTCAGGCTTCGGTCCCCCCTTCTGGGGTTGTGTAGTAATTTTTGTTGTCAGTAGGGGATCACGGTGCAATGAAGTTTGAGAATCCCTGCAATAGAAGAATTTGAGCAACAAAGAAATATTTTCTCCAAATGGTGCTGCTTTGCTGACTGTGATCAATAAAGAACTGACTCAAACATTTGGAGAGAAGCAGGATGGCATGCCATAGCTGGTAGTAGACCTGTTTCATACTCCATCCTACTATTGCTGCCCTCAATGGTCTAAAAGCCTCTAGAGCTAGGTCTCTTTTCCCGGTCTGCACAGATGTTATCTCTACATATTTTTTTCCTTACCTATTCTTTCTTTGTAAGGGGATAAATCAGTCACCAATTATTCTCAGTCCAAAAATAATCTCTAGCATATTTTTTCCTCTTTGCTTTTAAGCTGTCACTTTCTGCTTAAATAATAGCTGCCTTCCTCTTGCACAAAAACCTAAAACACTTTTAAAAGAAAAGTCTTTGCACCTAAAACCTTGATTTTTACATTTTTGAAAGCAGTTTTGTGTACAATCTCACTTTTCTAGTCACTGCTTCATCCTTCTAGATTTGAAGATTCAAAGGATGCTCCATTTTGCAAAAAGAACAGAGGAGTGTATCCTGATGAAATCATGGTTCTCTACATTTTAAAAACCTAGCATGGTGGAGAAGAAAAAGGAATCTTAAAAGACCACACACCATGCTGTAAAACTTACTATGCAGTACAATTCTGTCATAGCTGTCATGAGTATAGTACCTCACTGTGTCTTCTTCAACCAGCAGAGCTTGCAGAGGAGCAAATTTGCCCTCTAATTTAACTACTTTAAAATTACATATTTAAAATGGGGCACTCTAAGTGCCCCTGCCCTGATAATGGTAAGGCAGTGAGTGAGGAGGAAGCATTATTCAGGGGTTGGCTAGGGCTGGTTACTAAAATGCTGTTGCAATGGGTGCAGAGCCCGTACATGAGACAACACCCTCATGATTTGTTTTGACAGTGAGCTCTGCCATTAGTGTGCCCAGCAATATCCTTATGGCAACAGAAGGGAAAAATGTTCTGCTAGTGAATCTCGGGCTAGGCTCTGCTAAGACACCTGAAGATCCAGCACCTGGGCAAGGTGCCCACTGCCTGCAGCCAGGGGTGAAGGGGACATGGACTGAGTGCCCCAACCCAGCCATAATCAGCAGAGGCGAGTTATGGTACAGTTTTGATCTCTTCTTCCCTGGCTTGACGCCCATAGGTGGGAGGTAGGCAGCTCAGTGCTCACACAGGCCGAGCCACCCCCTCGAGTAACGCCACGTGCCACAGCGCAACTGCTGTTTATCACTGACTAACCGCCAGCTCTCGCGCCCATGCTTCCCGCGCACTTGTTCCTAGAGGAGGGCGGGGAGACCATGGGCGCGAAAAAGCCGCGCATGCGCTTTTCACAGACGGCGGGTGGAGGGGCCACTAGTCTCTCCGAGTGTGCCCTGTGTGAGGCACGTTACACCTTGTGACGTCAGCGCGCAGCGTCACGCGGGTGGGACGTACAAAAGTGTAAGTTTCAATTTTTTTTTTCTACCAACGGAAAAAATTTTCTAGGGCCGCATCCGCGTGCCGGAGCCGGGGAGGGGCGGCTGCGCCCCCGCCCCCACACACAGGGAGCCCTCCGAGGGGAGGGGGGAGCCTGCGCAGGTGTGCGGAGAGCGGGGGCAGGAGGGACACACTGCGGGGGCTGGAAGGGAGGGACGCGGGGACAGGGAAGAGTGAGACTGACACGTGTGGGGGGAGGGCGGGAGCGAGACCCCCCGATTGGGGCTGGGGCCAATGACAGCCCAGGAGCCCCCTCCCCCCCACATTGGAGGCCCGTGAGCTGCACATGTGCAGTCGGCGCCCCCCGCCGTGTCTCCGCAGAGCGGCGCTGTGGGGGCGGGCGGGGGACGGAGGGAGCCTGCTGTCCGCCGGCGGCCGCTCAGGTGCAGGCACCGTTCGGCATGTGGGAGGTGCTGCTGCGCCGGAGGATGGGTTTGGGCGGGACGTGGGGAGGGGGCGCGGGATCTGTCCGGGGGGGGGATACCCCCTACTGGGGGAGGGGGGAAGATGGTGCCTCGGGCCCCTGAGTCAGCCGAGCCCAGTGCCTCGCGCGGCCCCGCGCCAGCTTGGACGGGCCGGGGGGCCCCCGGGGGGGGGGGTCTGAGGCGCTGTTGGGGCTGAGAGGAGCCTCAGAGGCGCCGCGTCCTCCCTCGCCTCCGGTCGCAGCTGCGGCCCGTCTGCCTGCGCCCGCCGCCGGGTACGGGGGGCTGTCGGGGGGCTGGCCCCAGAGGCCTAGTGCCTATGGCGAAGCTGACAGGTCGCCCCCACTCCCACGCAGAGGCCTGGCCTTGGGGGGGGGCGGGGGTGTCGGGTAGTGTTGCAGAGGGCGCAGCTGGACCGTGACCGGCCCGGTGTGGGCTTAGGCTGCCGGCGCAGGCCGCCTGCCGCTCTGCTGGGCTCCTCCGTGTATGTTTGGGGTGGGGAGGCCTCTGGAGCTAGGGTGCGAATTGTGACAGCTTCCCCGAGCTGCAGGGAGGTCGTTCCCCTGTGGGGGCTGTGAGGCTGATCACCGAGAGTAAGTTGATGATGCCAGGAAACTTTTTAAATATTGTGAGACACGTTCTAAAGTAGAGGAATATCTGCTTGTAGTTAATAAATTACATTTTACAGACTTCTGAAATTCACTATTATAGCTGATGTCTTGACTTTCTTTTTAGAAAATAACATCACTGTTCCTGTTTTCTTCTGTGGGCATCAAGCATTTAAGTGCCTTGATTTCTAGGCATTGGTAACATGGCAAAAGATGTGAGTATATTTGTTTCATATTATGTGGAAGGATGAGTAATAGAATATTTCCATGTTTTTGCTAATAAAAATAAAGCAGGCCATACATCCCACAGATGGCATTAATGGATATGAAGACCTGCTTTTTGTATCTTATTTAAAATAGGTTTTGCAGTACATCTGTCACTGTTTTTGCATAGAAAGTTTAGAATAGCATTATTAGCTCTTGTACTGTAAAAAGGATTAAGATTTGAGAGAATCTGCAGACATTTGTTCTGTGCAACAAAACAAAAAGCCACCATCTTGCTGAAAAGCATTTGTGATGCAGGCATTTTGTGTACTTGTGGTAGAGGTTATGAAAACTGCTTTTCACTGTTCTGCTGGGCTTTTAAAAAAACCCCAGTAATGAAATTATTGTTCAATCTGAGTGTTTTCAGTCAAGTACCTTTCATTAAGTTACCTGTTTGTTGATAAAACAGGTACATCAGGAGCACCACTGTCAGTGTTGCCCTGCAATTCAACCCTGTTTAGGGGTGAGAGGGTCCGTCAGTCTCCATGCCCATTCTTTTTTCCCTCTTCTCTTCTGAGGCAGACAAAATAAACCTAGTGAATGCCAACAGGAATTAGCCTAGGACAACTATTTTTTCCCCACATAGTCCATCAAATTCAAGCCACTACCACTCACCTCTAGGTTAATAGAAGAGGTCTATCTCTTGAGCCATCTACTCTTACAGTTCCCTTTTTAATACCTTTGTAACTATCAGAAAAATTACTGTCTTATATTTAAATTTAAACAAACTTCTGTTCACTAATAGTCCTCATTTAGTATCATTAGGCTTTCATAGTTACATGTTACATTGCTAGTAAAGTACTCTGATATTCTGGTTTGCATATTGATATGTTTTTTGCATATTTTCAAAAAAGAAAACCAAAAAGAAAAACAGCATTTAAAAAAAAGGTTTTAGATTATGGCCAAAGGTTTGATGTGAGAAGGTATTGCAACCTTCCAAACAGTGAGAGACAGATAGAACTTAAGTAATCCTTGGTTTAAAGAATTAATATTGTAGAGCACTGATGTGGTTTAAAAAACACTTAAAAAAAACCAAACCCCTAATGATTGGGGCGGCAACCAGATAGAAAAACAGTCAGTCAAGGGTTGCCAGGAAAAGACAAAGGAAGTGAATTATGTTAAAGATAGCTAAAGGTCTTATGGGTGGGAGGAAAGAAAGTAGGCCCATTGAGAGGATGAAATAAAAGATGGTTAAAAGTGACAGAGATACTGAAGACCTTTTGTTTAAATCCCTCCTAGGCTATGTCTACACTACAGACCTTGCAGCTGCTCTACACTAGCAAGAGAGCATCTCCTGCCAACATAGCACTGTCCACACCGGTGCTTTTATCGGCAAAACGTATGTCGGTCAGAGGTGTCGTTTTTTTCACATCCCTGACCGACAAGTTTTGCTGACCAAAAACAAAAGTGTGTGAGGGAGAATTTAGAAAACTAGGAAATGAGGGAGAACTTAATGAGTATTGATGAAGAGCATGTAAGGAGAGTACGTGGGGAACAAAAGTGTATGCCACTCATCCAGTTCAGCTGATATGGCCCATAAGATATTAGGATACCTTGCAAACTTAATGTATAGTTCAGTGCAGTGGTTCTCAAACTTTTGTACTGGTGACCCTTTTCATATAGCAAGCCTCTGAGTGCAACCCACCTAATAAATTAAAAGCACTTTTTTATATATTTAACACCATTATAAATGCTGGAGGCAAAGCGGGGTTTAGGGTGGAGGCTGACAGCTCGTGATCCTCCAGGTAATAACCGTGTGACCCCCTGAGGGGTCCCGACCCCCAGTTTCAGAACCACTGGTTTAGTGGTAGACAACTGGTGTGGTACTAATTGCTTTTTGCCAATTTTCAAAAAGGGAAAGAAGAGTGAACCTGATAACTACTGTTCAAAGCCTAACTTCTGTCCTTAGTGAAATAATGGAACAAATTACAAGGGGGGGGATCCCTAATTTTTTAGGCCTTGATCCTGCAAAGACTTGCACATGCTTAACTTTGTGTGTGCATAATCCTGTAGACTTCAGTAGAACGGTTCATGTGTGTAAAAATTAAGTATGTGCATAATTCAGCAGGAGTGGGACCTTACTGGATAATTTGCACTGTGAACAGTAAGCATTATAAATGTATAAAGAATATTTCTTTCCAAACAAAATCTATTCCTTTTTTTAAAAAATTATAAAATTAATAGCTAAACAAGGGGATTAAAGAAATAATATTTGGATTTTACTAAAACATTTGGTAAATCTTCCAAAATCTTTATTTGAAAATTTTAGTGACATGGATATAGTGTCATGTAGACTGAAAATTGGCCAGAGGATTGTGAACAACTGATAATGATAAAAGGCAAAGTATTGAGTTTGGGGAATGTACTAATGGATTTTTTTTCTAATGGATAAGGCCCAAAAGCTATTGCAAAGTCTGTGGTAGCTCCAGTCATAAATAAGCTCTTCATTGAAGAAGAGGGAATAAAAAGGACATCATAGTTAATATTATATATAGAAGAGGTCCCAGAGTTGCGTATGGTGTAACTTTTTTTTTTTTTTTAAACAGTGTGTACATGTTCTCATCTACACTACTCCCATGAGTCCTGTTGATCTTAAACCAAATTAGACCCAGCCATGCTTGGGGAATCCCAGAAACCTCAGCTCAGTCACCACTCCTGTTTTTAATGGCTGACTGCCTTTGTTACTGTCACTTTAGAACATAAGAACGGCCATATTGGGTCATACCAAAGGTCCATCTAGCCCACTATCCTGTCTTCTGACAGTGGCCTATGCCAGGTGCCCCAGAGGGAAGAACAGAACAGGTAATCATCAAGTGATGCATCCCCTGTCGTCCAGTCCCAGCTTCTGGCAAAACAGAGGCTAGGGACTCTGTCCCTGCCCATCCTGGCTAATAGCCATTGATGGACCTATCCTCCATGAACTTACCTAGTTCTTTTTTGAACCCTGTTATAGTCTTGGCCTTCACAACATCCTCTGGTAAGGAATTCCACAAGTTGACTCTGCATTGTGTGGAAAAAATACTTACTTTTGTTTGTTTTAAACCTGTGTAGTTCATGTGTTATTTACTCTCTCTCATAACAGTCCCTTATTTACTTTCTTCACACCAGTCATGATTTTATAGACCTCTATCATATCCCCCTTTGTTTTCTCTTTTCCAAGCTGAAAAGTCCCAATTTTATTAATCTCTCCTCATGTGGAAGCCATTCCATACTCCTAATAATTTTTGTTGCTCTTTTCTGAACCTTTTCCAAGTCAATATATTTTTTTTTTTTTGAGACTGGGCGACGGCATCTGCACGCAATATTCAAAATGTGGGTGTACCATGGATTTATATAGCGGCAATATGATATTTTCTGTCTTATCTATCTCTTTCTTAATAATTCCCAACAGTCTTTTTGCTTTTTTACTGCCTCTGCACATTGAGTGTATGTTTTCAGAGAACTATCCACAATTAATTCAAAATCTTTCTTGAGTGGTAACAGCTAATTTAGATGTGCATAATTTTATATGTATAGTTGGGATTGTTTTCCAATGTGCATTACTTTGCATTTATCAACATTGAATTTCATCTGTCATTTTGTTGCCCAGTGACCCAGTTTTGTGAGATCCTTTTGTAGCTCTTTGCAGTCTGCTTGAGTATCTATCTTGAGTAGTTTTGTATCCTCTGCAAATTTTGCCACCTTACTGTTTACCCCTTTCTCCAGATTATTTATGAAATAAATATTTATTAAATAGGACTGGTCCCAGTACAGACTACTGGAGGACATCACTATTAACCCCTCTCCATTCTGAAAACTGACTGTTCATTCCTACCCTTTGTTTCCTATCTTTTAACCAGTTATCAATCCATGGGACCTTCCCTCCTATCTTAAGAGCCTTCGGTGAGGGACCTTGTCAAAGGCTTTCTGAAAATCTTAGTACACTATATCCACTGGATCCCCCTTGTCCACATGCTTGCTGACCCCCTCAAAGAATTCTAGTAGATTGGTGAGGCATGATTTCCCGTTACAAAAACCATGTTGACTGTTCCCCAACAAATTATGTTCATCTATGTGTCTGACAATTCTGTTCTTTATTATAGTTTCAACCAGTTTGCCTGGTACTGAAGTCAGGCTTACCGGCCTGTAATTGCTGGGATCACCTCTGAAGCCCTTTTTAAAAATTGGCGTAACATTAGGTATCCTCCAGTCATTTGGTACAGAAGCTGATTTAAATGATAGGTTACAAACTACAGTTAGTAGTTCAGCAATTTCACATTTGAGTTCCTTCAGAACTCTTTGGTAAATACGATCTGGTCCTTGGCACTTATTACTTTTTAGTTTATCAATTTGCTCCTAAACCTCCTCTCATGACACCTCAATCTGCGACAGTTCCTCAGATTTGTCACCTAAAAAGATTGGCTCAGGTTTGGGAATTTCCTCACATCCTCAGCCATGAAGACCGCTGCAAATAATTCATTTAGTTTCTCAGCAACTGCCTTACTGTTCTTGAGAGCTCCTTTAGCATCTTGATTGTCCAGTGGCCCCACTGGATGTTTAGCAGGCTTCCTGCTTCTGATGTACTTTTATTACTTTTTGAGTCTTTGGCTAATTGTTCTTCAAATTCTTTTTTGGCCTTCCTAATTATATTTTTATAATTTTGTCAGTGTTTATGCTCCTTTCTATTTTCCTCACTAGGATTTAACTTCCACTTTTTAAAGGATGCCTTTTTGTCTCTCACTGCTTCTTTTACTTGGTTGTTGAGCCATGGTGGCACTTTTTTGGTTCTCTTACTATGTTTTTTAATTTGGGGTATACATTTAAGTTGAACCTCTATTATGGTGTCTTTAAAAGGTTTCCATGCAGCTTGCAGGGATTTCACTTTTGACACTGTACCTTTTAATTTCTGTTTAACTTCCTCATTTTTGTGTAGTCCCCCTTTCTGAAATTAAATGCTACAGTGTTGGACTGT